GAGAGAGAGAGAGAGAGAGAGAGAGAGAGTTTGCACACATAAGTATCTAGAGATTTAACTTTATAAATCAATTTCTTTTATGCAAATAAAATCATTGTAATTTATATTCCCTAAAATTCATACACTTAATAAACATGATAGTTTTTCACGCTATGCTCAATCATAATAGATATACATTTATATACGCCTATTCATTAGTGTACACAATAGTAGTAGACTAGTAGTATTCAGGATAATAGTAATAGTAATAACTGTATATACAATATATAAATTATTATACAATTCGGGGGTTTTAAAGATAAATATTTAAACAAAAAACAAATTTGTATTAAAAATTATTCACAAGAATAATACAGAATATTCTGTGTGTTTGTTGAAAACGTTTGCTTTTATATAGAATTCAACTGTGAATTCATTATTAAATATTCTTTGTTTGCATTTTATATAAATTTTGATTTTGTTTTTCATATAGATTTTTGACGAGTATTTCATTCAGTATTTCATATTATATTTTCAAGATTTGTATAAATTTTATTTAAGATAAAAAATATAAGGATATAAACTAAATACCTATTATTATTAAATTGTTTTCTACAAACATTTTACTAAATTAATGTTAACGTTAAATTTAAAATCGGTTTTATATATTTGTGAAATCATTGATAAACTTGTTTTTATTTAGTTTTTGTAATTAATTTGCATATATTATTAAATTAAAATATATTTAGTGTTATAGTAAATAAAATATAAAAAATAATTTAATATAAGTTATGAATAATTAATTATAATTTTTAATTAAATAAAAATTCCGTTTATAATAAACATTGTTTGTGTATTATAGCTGTGTATTTAACTAATTCATTATGCTAATCAATTAAGCAAGCATATATAATCTAGTTAATTTGTTTTTGCCATTAGTATGATGATTACTTTAATAAACATTTATGTTAATATATTCAAAATATTATTTTTATATAAAAAACATTTCATATGAATTCCCATTCATTAGAAGTAAGTTATGTTTAAAAACACATTTCCAATACATTTAATATTATGTAAAACATATTTATAAAAAGTTAAAATGAATAATACATACGATTATAAATACTTTGAAATCGTGCTTGATTACTTTGAAATCGACCAACAAATAGTAGCCATTCAATGGTAGCCTATTAAAGGGGGAAATTATAAAGGTGTTTTTGTGTTAAATAAATATTTATAATATAATAAATTGCTATTTATAGAAATAAAAACTGTAACTAAACAAAAATTGATAAAAATTTAACTTGGTAATGAAACTAATACAAACTGTAACTATTATACAAAGTAATGAAACACATAAATCCCACATGAGAAAATTATTATTTCGGGAAGTATACTCCAAGAACTTTTTAAACAATTATTTTTAATACTTTATATAACTAACAAAATATAAATAAAGTTACAATTAAAACTTATAATAATAAAATAAAAGCAACACAATAATTAAAAATCAAGCTCATACATACCAGCAAACGGCAAACACAATGACCACGAGTGCCAACATTAATATGCGGCGCCTTTTAGCCTCGGACTGTAGTCGGCGGCGGACATTGCACACGGTTACGGACACTTTACCCTGTTTGGACACAATTGCCCCTATCTTAACATACAACAAGGTGGTGACCAGCAACGGACCCAGGTACTGTGTCAAAAATATCTCCACCGTAAACAATAAACGAAAATTAATATTCAACGCCGGATAAGTGACCCTGCACCTGGTCAACATTCGGCCATTATAGTGAACTTGTTTAATCTCGTTGTACACGCTATGGGGCAGCGATAGTAGAAAGGCCAACAGCCATATCACGGCGATCGCGGTGATTATTTTATAATTTTGATTCTGACTGTGGCACGTGATAATTGATTGGTTACGTTTGGTCAGGCTCCAATTACGGTGCACGGC